GATTAGTTTGAAAAGTTTGTAAAAAAGAATATACTAACAACTAATATTTTGCCAGTAAAACAAATGGTTAAAGTTTCTCACTTTGTAAATAAGGTTTCAATTGTTGAGGTTTAAGGGAGGGATTTGGTTGGTAGGGACATAAAAAATAATAAATTTTCTATCAAGATATAAAGAACTAATTAAGTAAGCAATTGATTTTATTAGATTATTTTATTGTAATAATTGATTCAATTGTTTGAATAAATTTTAACCAATTAATAATTGATTGAACTAAATTAATTGAACCGTTGATTCATAATATTTGTTTTCTAATAATATATTATAATTTAATTTATTTATAATATTTGTTTAGTTGATTTAATCACTCTTTTATGTGTACGAATCATATTGGATAAATTGTCTCACATCAACAGGTCACAATTTGTAACTATACAAAAAATTAAATTCAATCTTAATGGAAGCCAATGAAGATATGTACACGATTTCAATGAGTCGAGCAGCATCAACAAACTCACAGATAGTGAATCAATTAACAATTGAGGTACTGGGCGAGGATTCAGCATGTCGTGCCACAAATGATTCTACGAGTGGGTTCACAAGATGAGGTGCCTCATCCTTCATGAAGTGCACAATAAATAAAGTTTTGTCATAAACATGAAAATTAAAGATAAAAAAATGCACGTACAAAAAATGAAGACATAAAATTCCATTACGATAGTATGAACAGGATTATATAGATTTTATTAACTCTAAATTCCAGAAAAGGATCGCATTAAATGGCCCTTCACTGTTCTCTTTGATTAAAATTGTAGTGTCCTTAATAATTTTAACCATTCTGGTTTCTTAAGATTATCTAATACTTCATTATTCTTTAGTAGTCCTTGTAATTAATTTCCTGCAGAAAAAAATGGGAATTTTTAATGCTTCTCGCCCTAAAAGGATACCCAAAAAATTAGGATTAGAAAAGACGCACCGAGACTTCTCAAGAGAAGTAAGAGCAGGAGGCAAGTATAACTATGGGATTAGGATAATATGTAATTGATTCCAAGCAAATTAATTAAGATAATGATAATTATCATCTATGAATACTTTATGAATTATTTTAGATGCTATTAAGAAAAAGATTGGGAACTCTTACATTACATGTACAAGGAAAGAGAGAGAAGGAGAGGGAGAGAGAACCTGGGGGCAATGTCCAACATTAGGAAGGACAATGAAGTCTTCAACAGAATCAAAATTTTCATAATTTCTTCCAATCTCAATTGGTTCCCAAGGATCCTTGTCACCCCATGCTATCAGAACCGGGCACTGAAAAATTAAAAATTAAACACACTATATCGTTGTTGGATTTTGGCATCTCAAACATACATTCACTTGTTATTCCCATTTCCTCAACTACTGGTGTTTGGAGGCTTACCTTTACTCGAGGTAGTAGTTCCTCGGGAAGAGGACCACCTGAATAGCAAATGAACTCAAGAAATACCTCTGCAGCTCCAGGTTCCAGACCTGGACCAAGGATGATCTGCACTAGCTCATCTGTCACCTTGGAGGTGTCATGATAGCACTGTCAAAGCAATACACATGTAATCATAAGTTGTGGGTAATAGCAACCTCAGTAGTCAAATTTCAAAGCATGATACCACCTTGGAGCTGGCCACTTGCAGCTCCAGTGATAGATATGCAACCCTACTAACATGGGTGTAGAATAAGAAAAATAGGAGTGAATGTATGACATTATAGGCTATGTTTGGGTAGTGTGCAAGGGATGTGCAAGGGAATGTATGAGATTAGTAACAACTTGATCACTTAGCAGTACCGGAAAACAGATTTGACTAATGGGCATTAGGTAAAGACAGAAGAGTAAAGAGGGGAAAGGCAGAGAATTGTGAGTAATGTTTGGAAAGGGAGGAAGCCAACCCACTACCCCTCCAAGTACCTGCAATGTTTCTAAGAATATTTTACGTTCCTGTTTCTGTGAATCTCGTCATGGATATGCCCATCATTTGTTGTCAAATTGGACTCCTTAGCAATCAGATTTATTCCAATACATTAGCAGCCTCATCTAACACACTTCCTTTCTGTTTTTCTATCCAGTCTACCGTGTTCAAGGCATGAGTTTTAAAGAGATGAAATTGAAAGTTAAGCGAGAGGAGTACCTGGCAAAGAATGTTCCTTACAGATTCTTTTGTGGCAACAGTTTTATAGAAGAATTTTCCTAAAGCAGTATCCCTACGATATAAAACATGATAATATGGGTAAATCGTCTGCTCAAGGCTTTAAATATCTCAAGTCCATGTAAACAAACTAGGGTTTCACTTTTACCTAAGCAATCTCTGGAATGATCTGATGAAAGGCTTTCCATACCAAGGCTGCTTCTTTATATGAAGCATACGCAGAGATATATTGAGAAGGATAATGCCCCGGCAAATGTTTGGTGCTACCACAGCTGCTTGAAGACCAACAACTCCTGTACAAAAATAAACAACAATACGAAACACGGAAGCAGGGCAGTGATTATTTATGAATTTATGAAGGGAAGATAGTTGAAAAAAATCACCTCCAATAGAATTGCATAAAAAGAATGCTTCATCCTTTATGACATCAAGACAAAAATCATTTAATTGAGAGGCCCACGTTTCGAAAGTGTAAAAAGAATGGTCTCCTATTTGACGAGGATTTGGTTTATCTGAATATCCGTATCCAATGAGATCAATGGCGTAGACACGGTGAGATTGAGCAAGAATTGAAATGTTGTTCCTCCAGTGGTCACTGCAACGAAGTAAACTCTAGAATTACATTGTGGCATAAACAAAGGAATTGAGAAAGTCAAAATAAGTGAGGAAGCTAACAGATGAAATTAAATTTGGTATAAAACATAAACATATGAAGTCCATCCAGACTGCAGACCTAGTACCTGTTAGCTCCAAAACCGTGGACTAAAAGTAGCGCAGGACCATTGTTCCCAGAATGTTGATAGCGAATGGAGTAATCCCTCCAATTCCAAACGCTACGCGTACAATTCAAGGTCTGAATCGTTTATTCACTGTTCCAAAAACTAGAAAAAATAAAATAATTATCATGCGATACAGAAAGAAAATTACCGGGTCTGAACCTCGTCCTCAGCGTCAATGTTTAATTTGGAAAAGAATCGACGGGGGAAATGAATTTTATTTTGAACTGGAGAGTGACAGCGTGAGCGGTAGCGAGGGAAACCGAGACTGGTTATGGTGATTGATGTCATACAAGCGCTAGTCATTGTGTTCGTGACCATGGCCTTTCTTTTCCACACTCATTCGCCCTTTCCCCTTGCTTTCTATATCTCATTTCTCGTCGCCAGTTCCTCTGTTCTAGAGCACGCCACGTATTTATTTAACACATAATTGCACAATTCATCCATTCAAAACTGACACGTCAAAACCACAAATCCCAGTACCATCTTTATTTTGAGAAATTGAAAATATCTCCTCTTATTTTATATATTCCTTAATAAAATTTATATATTTTAAAAAATAAAATTTACTAAACATATCTAAGTTGTTTATATATTCTTTTAATTTTAATAAAATGTAGACTCAGCTCACCAATATCATCATGCATCTTCAAGTGGACTTTTTTGTTCTTAATTTATTAAACTTATGCAACTATCATCATCATCAGGCTTTAATGATGTTCCAACAACTAGTAACAAATGTTAGTTATACCTCTTTGTTTGTCATTTCTTCATTTTAGTTCTTCTTTATTTGTGTATATGAGCTTGGCTTCTAAAGTTGTGGTTGTGGTGGTAAAGTGTTATAGTTTGTGGTGTGGTTCGTGGAAAAAATATGTGGTAAAAAGGCATTGGAGGTGGTGAAAAACATTCGAGGTTGGAAATTACATAAATAACCTTAATCGTCGTTTAAACTGTAATTAAGAGAATGTCGATATTCAAATGTCGGTTAAGACTTGTCACAAGTACGGTAAGTTCTCAACCGTAAATCGAACACAGGTGGGGCTTTAAGCTTGAAGCGCAAAGTGTAGTTAAGGCTTCCGAGATTTGTTCTTGCACATCCAAGCATAAAGATACATTCAACCCTTCTACCATACATCCAAGCACAAAATCATACCACATGTACCGTACTCCTGACGGAACGGTTGCTCTAAGGCCGTCCACCCAAACCACCATCAGGACGAGCATCGAAGCAAAAGTTGTCCTCGGACCAACCTTACATAGGACGTGCGATCTTCCAAAGGTCGGCCATCGAGACCGAGCGTCCAAGCTGACCGATCAGCAGAACCAAGTGACTGCCCATCCCGGTTGAGTCCCTCGTCGACCACCCCTTCTCACCGGTCATCCCAACCGACCCAGGTCCACTACACGGTTAAACACTAATGACTCATTAAAGCCCTTAATGAAAATTAAGGTATGATTGGGCCGTTATCAGGCCCACGAAAGGTAAAAGCCCATTACAATCCGTATAAATAAATGTTCCAGGTATGATTTTTGGACAGATTCCTTACGATGCAATATATACATGCATCACGGACCGCTCTGTCATATTACTGACTTGAGCGTCGGAGTGCCTTTGACAGGTACCCGACTGCCCGGCTTGGGGAAGGAGGAAGGAACGAATACTACCACGAGGACTTGAAGAGAAAGCCCGTTCGGCCCTTCCCAGCGCGTCCAGCCCTCAGCAAAAGAGGTAACCGTCCGGTTTTCGTCAGCTTCTAGTGCCCCAAGCGCCAGAGCCGCTCGATCTGCTTCAGCTCGTGAGAAAGCGTCCGTCCGTCGCCAAGCATTCGTCCGATCCGTAGCAGTTTCATCGTTCGTCCGTCAATCTTTACCGTGAGTGTTTTAATAGGGTCACACTAGATCCGACCGAAACACCACGTACCAATTAGTTTCATACATTTTATACATTCAACCATCTCAAAGCATGCATCAAGGTTGAGGAGAGAAGCACTAACCTGAACTCAAACCAACTAAGACGAGACAGATAGAGGAAAAAGCACCACTGCATATCATGGAAGATCCTCACCACCACTGGATCAACCACGACGGAGCATCGAAGGACAATGACGGCCGCTATGGAGAACGTTTTGCCGCGAGGGAAAACATGAGGTTGAACTGCGAGAGGGTGAAGTGTGAGAACAAAGAGACAAGAGCTAGAAGGGAGAGCGCAAATTGAGAATGAAATGCAGTAACGAAAATGAAAAACGCAAATGAGAGAGAGAGAGGAGGCGCTGAGTATGAAATGTGGCAGCGAATAAGGGAAATGAGAGAGCGAGGAGGCCTAGGGGTGGTATAGGTTTAGTTGGGAATGAGTTTAAAGAGGGAACATAATCTCTAGTCACTCAAAGATTCTTTCCGCAAATTCTAACAGGACAAAGATGAAAAATTGATAGAAGTTAGAAGTGCAACTTAAAATGGGTGAGATACAGATAGAAGCACTCAAACATAGTTCATCATTTGTTTCAAAAACGTTTATATTTTGATATATGAAAATAAAATAAGTTTTATATAGTTTAAATAAATGTTTAATTATTTATTTGGTTCTTATTTTTGTCAAAAAAATATCTAATTAGTCTTTTAAAATTTTTTTACTCAATTTGAATATGACATTTTTCTAAAAATATTCAATTTATTGTTTTAATAATATATATATATATATATATATATATATATATATATATATATATAATTATATTTTAAACTCTTTATTGTTATTTTGAATATATTTATAAATTTAATTAGAATAGCATGTTGATACAAAAGTAATTGCAGTGTCCATGGTATATATAGTACTACGTGTTTTTTTTTATTTATTTTAAATATATTCAAAACTATACTCACATTGTCTAAAAGTTGAAGTACAATCTAAATGCACTTTATTTTCAAAGTTTCTTTACATGACAATCTTGTAGAGAAATTTCAAACTTCAGACTAGATATTTCTTCAGATTTGATAATTGATTCCAACGATTCAACGAACTTTAATTGAAATATTTTTATATTATGATAGACGTATAAATTAAATTATATTAGTATTAATGTAGTATATTCTTATTTTTATTTTATAGTTTTTGAATGTTTTTAAAATGAATGTTTTCATTCCTGTATTTTTTTTTTTTTCATTGGTATAGTTCTAAAAAACATATATCAGTAACCTTCGTGATATCTAAAATTTAGATGGCTTGGTTTGTTCTTTAATCATGCAGATATATTTGAGAGGTTTAGGGAGGAGAATGGCAATTTCAAAGAAAACCTTGTGAGTGATGCGAAGGGAATGCTGAGTCTGTATGAGGCATCGTTTCTTGGGTACGAAGGAGAGAAGATTTTGGATGAGGCCATGGTCTTCTCTAGCTTCCATCTTAGGGTTTCCCTCAACGAAGGTAAAAGCAGTAACATGCTTTTGGAACAAGTCAATCATGCATTGGAGCTTCCACTCCATCACAGAATCCAAAGGCTGGAAGCTAGGTGGTATATTGAATCTTATGCCAAAAGAACAGACTCAAATCGACTGCTGCTTGAAGCAGCAAAACTTGATTTCAATATTGTGCAGTCAACACTGCAAAATGATCTCCAAGAAATGTCAAGGTCAGTTTGTGTTGGAAAATCAGTAACTCTTTTAATTAAAAGTATGCATGCTGCAACTGTATCACACGCAACAGTGATTGGCTATCTTGAAAATAAAAATCTACCACAAACAAATTCTGGTCAACTACCCATATGAATACCCATATGAATGTTAAACGATTAATCCTGTTATTGTGCCTTTGAAAAACTACTCACGTCTTCAAAAAAGTCATGATTTATGTGATTTTCCACTTACATTGTTTAATCAATTACGTATATATATACTTTCACTATGTTTTAATTATGTGAGAAAAATTAAATACGACAAACAAAAGGAAAGTGGTGAAGTTATGAAATGAAAGTTTCAACTATTATCTCGAGGAAAGAGACGTGTGCACAAGTGGGGAGAAAGAAATATAAAACTTTATCAAAATTTAATTTTAATTAAATAGAAAGAAAAAATAAATAATATTTTCTGTTAATTAGACAATTACTCCTTAAAAAATTCGAGGTTACTGTTTTATGATAATCCTTTTCTTTTACATCTTTGGAGATACCATATTTTACATAGGAAAAAAAAACATGTGTAAGAACGTATCTAAATTTACAAGGATAAAATTTGGACACAACAACATCAGACTGAGATAAAATGCTAATTTTAGTAAATCAGTAACTACTTTTCTATTAACTAAAACTATGCATGCTGCAACTGTATCACACAAAGTGATCTCTTGAAAATAAAAATCTACAAGATAAACAAATTCTGGTCTCCCCATCATGAATATTAAACGACTAGTCTTATATTATTGTGCCTTAAAAAACTATACATGTCTTCAGACATGATTATGTGGTTCTCCACTTATATTGTTTGATCAATTACGTATTCTTTCACTATGTTTTAATTATATGAGAAAGAAAATAGAAAAGGACAAAGAGAAGAAAGTGGTGGGGAAGTTATTAAATGAAATTCTCAACTATTATCTCCAGGAAAGAGACGTACGTGTGCACAGAAGTGGGGAGGAAGAAAAAATAAAAGGTTAATTAAACAGAATGAAAAAGGAAATAATTATGTCAACTAGAGAATTATTCCCTTAAAAGAAATAGAAGGTTACTGTTTTATTATGATCCTTTTCTATTACATCTTTGGAGATATCTTATTTTTCTTTAACACTTTGTGATGAAGGTGGTGGAGGGGAATGGGACTGGCCTCTCAACATTCCATCCATCTATAACGTTTATTATTAACTTTGAATATATATATATATATATATATATATATATATTTAACTATTGTTTATAATTAAAAAAGTTAATAATAAAAAATTATACAAATTAATTTATAATATAATAAAGTTTTGATAAAAAAAAGTCAAGATGCATGTGTTTACAGTATACTTACTTTAAAATATGGACGGAGACATAAAAATTATAATATTGTGAACACACGATTTCATAAACAATAAAGAAAAATAAAAAAGGTTATCCTACACAACAAAATTTATATTTATTTAATCTTTTTTTTACTTTTTATTAAAAGTACAAAAATTCATCCTTTTTTTTATAACCATTTTACGTGTATTAAAAGAATATGAATGTAAAGGTATCTCATCTATCATTACCTAAAAAAAATCTCATCAGTTTATTAAGAAAGAAATACTGTGACCGTTAAAAAAAATGAAATGGTATGAGCCTATGCTTTTGCTAAAACATTACCAGAACTAGTAGATAATTAAGTTGGAAAGAATTGCAAATCGCGTTGAGGCATTGATCAACTCCAATAGTTAATCTACACTCCTTTTTATTGCATATATAGAAGGAGTCTTTCTTAGGTGTATGGTGGGGGCTTTGGCAAACCCTTAACAACACCGCAAAGTAAAGCGTTGTCTGGAATATTGTACTCGTCTCTGAGAGAACGCTCGGGGCTGATAATGCTGAAGTACATCTGTTGGCCAAGATACATATTTTCAGTAATCATCGATCTCAAGTTCCACATTCCAACGTTGTCGGTTGATAACAAGATGGCGGCCCAAGATTTTGGGAAGACCTGAATTGTGTGCCTGCTGATGGCATCGAGAGGGTTGTAGCTGTTCCTCTTCTCTGGGGTCCATTTGCCAGGCTCTATGCTGTATTGTAAGCAAGATATATATATATATATATATTAAGTAATCAACAAAAAAAAAACTAATTAAAGAGAAAGAGAGTAAGAATGATAAAGGAAAGGAAAAAGGAAAGAAGGAATACTGACGCGACTGCGAAGAACGCATAACCATCTATGTGATATGACTGGATAGATTTTTCATGGTTCTCAAAGATGACCTCGATGAATTTACGGTGGTCAAGGCTGAGAACATTTGGCTGAATTTTAACAGTGGTTCCAACGTCAGATGATGGGTCGTCTTTGATAGTATTATATTTGAAAACCTTGTCAGCAACTCCATAGTATTCAGCTAGTTTGAGAGGAGTTTCGGGGTCTTCGTGGGATACACCATTGAGGGCATAGCGAAGCTTACCGTTTTCCCTACTGACGGAGTTGATGAGCTTGATGGTACGGGTGATTTCGATTTTGGCGTATTTGTAGGAACCCTGAGGGTTGGGCCTGGCGGCGCTGGCAGTGAGATTCCAGCGGAAGGAACGGAATTGATTGAGAGACCAAGCCCAGCCGACTGGAGCCTCCGGGATGTCGGGCGAGGGACCACTCTTGCCATTTGTGTAACGGATGATGCCTTTTCCTGTGAGAACAGTCTTGCTGAAACGCGTGGAAGCCACCATGTAGTAATCCTTTGGGTCCTTGTCTGCTGTGACAAGGACAGAAAAGCAGCCACCTATATGGACGTCCAGAGACTCGTATTGGTTTTGTACCACGTGGGAGCCTTCAATCTCAACAACCGTCAACGGGTGACCTTGGATCCTGAAGTTGAGTGAAAATTTCATCCCTACGTTGCATACTCGGAATTTGTAGGTCTTTTCGGGCTTCATGGTGAACAATGGCTGGTCACTTCCATCACCTTTAGCCGTTTTGCCGTTGATTAGAACACCTTCAGGCCTCCCAATGGAGCGACCGCTATCCAAGAACTTCCTCAGAGTGGTGTGGCTCTTTGTGTACCAGTCACCGATCACAACGTCGTATTCGTCCTCGGGATCATGGTACGGCACTGGAATCAGCAACCTGCTGTTTATACGGTGCGACCCAAAACCACCAGCTGCCCTGTGCAACGCTGTGCTCGGGTAGTAGAAGAAACTACCTATCTGGTCCTTCACCTGCATACGGTAGGTGAAGTTTTTCCCTGGAGGAATGGGGCAGTTTGTACCGAGGACCCCATCTTGCCACGAATTCTTTCTGTGCTGGATGCCATTCCTGCACGGCGCATGCATCAATCAAGCAAATTATTTATTTTTTATGCATTATAATGTTTATAATTAATTAAATATAATAATCACCATGTAAAAAGAAGAGGCTCGTCAAGATTATTGAAGACATTGACTATTAGATTGTTGTTGCTGGTGGTATTAATACTGGGTCCTGGGAATTTGCCATTGATGAGAATGCCTTGCTGGGGTACTCCCAATGGGGAGATGATGCCATAGGTAACGTTCCATGTATGGTTGATATAGGGGTCTTCACCCCGCACCATCGACAGCAGACTCAGCAAGACCCCAAAAATTATGCCTCGCATCTCCATCGAATCCTTTATTTATTTTTTACAATTTATTACTGATTACTGATCAGGAGAAGAACTGTTGCTTGATGTCTCATACCCCCACCACCCTTTCCCTTATATGTATGTCCTCCTCATCTCGCAACCACTTAATCCCCCACACATCCCATTATTTTCCGCTCCTTCCAACTCGTACTTCATTACACCTTTCCCTTTTCCTCGTCAAATCCTATACTTAGAGCCTAGAGGGGAAGGAGTGTCTCATAATACCACTTCTTCGATTTTAATCTATTTTAATAAAATCCTTAATTATTCCTTAAAAAATTCTCGTAACTATATAAAATTAATTAATATACTTTAAAGTTCTTTTGAGTAAGTATTTGATAATTGCAAAATAAAATAAATACATGTCAATATGATATTTGTATAGAAATATTAGTTTTTATTGTTGAAAAATATATTTTGGACTATTTTTAGATGTTATTTTTTAGATCGTTTAAAATTTTATTATTGTTTTTTATGGACTAATTATTTTATTTGTATTGTTTACGTTTGATTATTACATCTCTTTCTCATGTGCATGCATGCATATATATAT